CCTAAAAAGTTATTTATTTATTTTAATCATGTATTTTTTTTATTATTTTATTACATTTATTTATATATTACTTTCCCATACAATTCATTACCTTATAATAATATTTCTTGAAATCAAGTTTAAAATTATTTTTATTTCATAATTTTAGAAGAAATAATATTGATAATTTCAATATAATATATATTATATTATATTTAGATAATTAAGTATTTGGTATTACACATAGACACTTTATTCGCGATTTTTTAGATCAGCAAGGTAATTTCATTTATCTGAAATTATTATTTCATTATATATAAGTATAGAGAAATAGAGAAGTTGGAACAAACAGACGGATAAACAAATTAATATTGTAAAGATGTGTATGTACCTATTACCTTGTCTTAATTTGTAATAATAAAAATAAAATAATAAAGGGGAACTATACAATTTCTAAAGGTTGCAAGTTACAACGACTTACAACTGTTTTTTTAACATCGTATCTGATTGACGCACAATAATTTGGGGCCCTTTCGCTAATAGTCGATTGTTATCGATTTATTTACACGATTATCGAGTTCTCGAGATGTGTTAGTGCCGAGTCAGCGTGCATCGTTACAAATCGAAAGTAGAATACCATGTTAACAAACAGACAACTCAAATTGCACATTCCACTAACGAGATTGACAACGAAATGTTATGAGTACAGTCGCACACATTAAAATATTCACAGAAGAGGATAAAAATGAAATAATTACATTAGTATGATTCAATTACAGCTATGAATCATAAACTTGATGGACGATATATATATGAAGCCAAGCCAAGCCGCTTGCCAAACGTGGCAATTACTGACAAAACCCTCCAAATATGAGGGAGACCTATGTCCAGCAGTGGACGGATAATCGGATAATGGCAAAGATGTACATGATAAATTTATTAGTTTATATATTAATTTAAGTTTATTTAGTATCTGCTTTTTTTACGCGATGATGCAGCCCTTAGAGCATTAATAATTATATCTCAGTCTAATTGTAAAATAATTATTGGAGCATCTTTAGACGCTAATTAACTAAAATAATTTTAATTACTAAAATAATTTTCGTATGTTAAAACATACGAAAATTTTTGTCGCGAGAAGTAATGTTATTACTCGTAGTAACATAGTATTATATTCTGTTGCATTAATTATTATATTTTCATGTTAAATGAATCAAAGTAAACAAAGTGTGACCATAACTTCTCATTCGCAAATAATAAAAATAACCATAGTTAAAAGTAAGCTAATATATAGCTTATAATTAAAATAAGCCCTGCTGTTAATGGGAGTTCCCTACATCCAATAATTGGGCATGTTATAATTAGAATTATTCACCGATGGTGTCCATTTTGCGTCAGGTGGATTGCTTGTTTGCCGTTTCTTTTTGTTCTACCTACATATACGATTACTCTCAAATAATAAATCATATTTATAAATAATAAAAACATCACTAACCAATAACTTACATAAATTCAAATTATTTTCCTATATGATTTATCACCGATTTAACGAGCGGAACAGTCCGTTTCCTATATAATTTTACGATTACTTAAATAGAGACGCATGCGTCAGTTTTGTACTAAATTTCGTACTGAGCTCACACCGAAAAACGTTACATCACTAATTATGTCACTGAATTCTGAATATATCTCTTTGTTATACACAAAATACCAATTAAAACTCAACCCCTGGCATTTTGAAGAGATGTTGCGTCTCTATGCAGACTTTATCGTATATATCATGGGGAGTATTCACCACCTACTGCTCGTCGTATGATGAAAATTAATTCTTCTGTTATTTCTCTAAGCAATGGCTAAGATGATTCTCAGTCGTTATCGTACCAATGCTGAACATTAATAAAAAAAAAATAAAGAATAAAAGAGATAAAATACTGGGTCACCTTATGACGATTTTTTAAAGAGCATAATAGAAGGAAATATAAAGTGCAAAAGAGGGAGTGGAAGAACTACATGTGACAGATAAAGGAAACACTAGATGTCATGTTGTCTAAGGAGGTCGAAGATATGGCCTGAAATAGAGCTGACTGGAAGAAAGTGCATGAATTAGTTTAATTGCACGGATAAGAGGAAACTCTTAAATGAAAAGAGAAAGGGAGAATGTCTTATATTAACTAACACAGGAGGAAACTTAATCGATTCATATAAGAATTATCAAGATTATCGTTAGCGAATATATCACATAACATATATAAACAAAAACATAGTCTAATTGAATAACTCCTTTTATGTCTATAGAAAATAAATGATTATCCATTAAAAAGAAATAATGCTTCTATCTAAACCGATTGCTTTTAAAATAATTGATGAAATTTCACAATCCCTATAAGAATGTGTTACTCATTCTGGGATGCAGGGAACAATCACTGATAAAATGTATCATCATCAGGCTATCAATATCGATAGCAATTATTTGTAGGCGTATTCTATGGGCGCCGTGATAGTACGATTTCATAATTTTAATTACTAGACAAAAGTTGTGTGTGGCGCCCCGCAGCGGTTTCTCGATGCACTAATGATGGACTGAAACAATGTTGTTTCATTATACGAGCATAGACTACGCGTTGAATACTTGTATATACCTCTGTGTACAACCATGAATTAAACACTATATTGTAGTTGCATCGTTAAGACGTTTCGTAAGCATATATGGTATTAGATGTAATTTTTTTTTATTATTTTACTGAAATAGGTATTATCTTGTGGATGTCCATATCTCCGATTACAAATTAATATCTTCGAGTATTTGCAGTCATTCATACACTAAAGTTAGCGAAATTAAACAAAATAATTCTAATCAAATAACCAGTAGTTTATGGTAATTGTCAAAATACGCAGACTTTATGTGTATTGTATTGGTCTCGAATGGTCGCGAAAACGAAACTAAATTAATGTTCTCCGTATAAAAATACACGTAAGTCATTCAATTCGCTTATTTTTCGAATGTAGTCGCACTGTTAGGTTTTAAAAAGTACCTACTACTTGTATTGATTATTGTAATATATCAGTTTAATAAACATTTGTATTTATGATAGATTTCATATATGACTACATTAATTTATTAATAATTATAAAAATTAATTAATTTTTCCCTCGCTATTAATCTAGAATAATACTAGCCCACTTCAAAGTCCTTAGTATGAGTTATACAAAGACTTACCTTAGAATCGCATTCACGTTTACTCGATAAATATAATAATAAAAATAAAAGAAAAAAAATACAAAAATAAACAATAATATAAAGTAGTGTGTATATTGTAACGAGATAAAAAGGCATTAGTAGTCTGTAATGAATTTGAGGAAATTACGGACAAATCAAATATTAATTACTTATTTTAGTGCTTTAAGAGCAACTAGGGTTACGTGTATGGTGTCTAGATACTACACAATAAAGAGATACACCACAAAATTACATATTTCACATATAAGTACGTATAAACCTTAAACTGGAATACATTTAATTATGCTCGCCACTTGCTCAAAGTATTATTATGCAATAAAGAATAAAATAAATAAAAACATTCGAAATAGACGGTATTGAAGTTGCAAAACGCTGTCAATGGTCTTACAAATCCAGATACAGTTTTGTTAAATATCCGTCTCAAATTAACAATCGCAAAACACGATGCACAATTAATTAAATATAATAATCGATATCTGTCCTATATAACACGATTAACCTAAGATTAAATAGATTAGATTAAATCATTAGGGAACACGGAAGACTTTAAGGCACGGCTCAGTGGGAAATTTAAATGCACGACACGTGTGAATGTACAAAGTTATAAGCGCAAGAGGTCACAGCACAATGTGTCCACGACCCGGAACGTTAGGAGCCAATCAGTCGGTCCTACCGTTCAGATGAATGCACCGGTGGCAGTGAAATCAGACATCTAACCGCATCCCCACATATGCAGCAGTGCGTACTCAATGAGTTATTATTGTGGGATTTGTGGTGTTACAAGGCCCTGTTAATTTTCTATTAAATATGGAAATAAATTGAACGTTTTAAGCTAAAATTGTATAGGTATTTATGACATTCGATATTTAAATTCTTAATGACCACTCTTTACAGTACATGTGAAAAGAACATGGTTTTTGGAATTTCATTAGTTCCATATTATAGTCGTAAATGAGAATGTTTATAAGGATGGGTAAATGGATGGATGTCTCATATGTTACTCTTTGAAATAAGAAGTACTGAACGGACTTAAATGAAATTAGGTACACAGGTAGGTTATATCCTAACTTAGCACATATGAAACTTTATGTACTAATTCTACCGAAACACGACTGAAATCATTGTATAAGTAACTGGGTATAGAGGAATAACACCTGAGTCCTCAGTAGTGGCAACGCATGGGGGGTATCATGGGCGAAACAGTATACTCTGTTATGTCCATGGTACTGCTCATGTCTATAGGCGACGGTTACCACTTTTAATCCGGTAGGGCGTTAGCTTGTTTGCCATTCTAAGTAGTATAAAAAAAGGTAATATTAAAAAAGGGAAACATAAAAGTAAATGTTACTAAAGTACCAAAATTTAAAGAATATAATTTTTGTACGTATTTTCTTTTTAATTTGTTATCAGGCCAAATCAATCTCTTGACTGTATTACAATAAATCTGTCAATTAGAAATTTTATTCATATTTAATATGTCCCGTGAACGCAATTTATGTACTGGCCTACAAATTATCTAAGAATACATGTATTTTTTTTTTATTGCTTCAGATTATAAACTTCTGATCTACAATGCTCGTATTTATTTATTTAAATAACTTTCTTGGTCAATAAAATATGACACAAAAGGTGTTATTAATGCTAATACATATATCATTCTCTATCGAGAATTCCTGCTCATCCAAAAGTTTGACTCGTTTTTAAGGTTCATTACATGTAAATGTATATGACCTAAACTGTTAATAAATTTATACTAAAATCAAATATTTCATCTCTTTTCCAGATTACGCCGCAGCAGAAAGAGAAGAAAATTGTCAAAAAGCACAGAACGCGTGGGAAGGGAGCAGATTGTGTCGGTGGTCAATGGTCCAGAACCAGACTGCCCAGGCATCGGGCGGCGGTACCACGAGTGTAACACATCGGTAAGCATCCATTACACTGCAGTATACCTTAATTACCGTGTGGTCCCGGCACAGAATGGGTCATCTCTTCCTTTATCTTGAGTGTCGTAAGAGGCGATTAAGGACATTTTGTGGTCGAGGTATAACAAGGTCGAGGGTAACAGCGTCATTTTAAAACATTACCAAAACTTAACTGCGTTTGCCAACTCGCCTGCCAGGCGTACTGACAAAATCCCACTATGGCCTATGTTCAGCAATAGACAGTTGACTGATGCGACGACGATGATGTGTTAATTCCTATATTCCATCTTAATGAAGAAACTGCTTAATATTTGCTGTAAGTGACAGTTTGGTAATTATCAAAAAAATTGCTTTTTTAACACTAGATGGGGCCAACAAACTGACAGCCTACCTAATGAAAAATTGTACTCGTAATTATTGTTTATAAATAAAAAAACAATGGTATAGACTTAATAGAGCAGTTTTTTTTATGATACGCAAATACACAGATCACACAAATGATAAAAACAGTAAGTCATTTAATGCACTTTACCTCTCTCTTACGAAATCTGTACCCTTTCACGAGATCTGTCTTTTAATACCCCAATTAAGGGGTCCATCTCATCTGTCCGATGAGTTATCGGTTTAAATATTAATTATTAATAATAATCTATTGTAAAATATTATTGTTTTTACAGCCATGCGCGGGACCCCTTCGCGATTCTCGGGCCGAGCAATGCGCGGTGTACGACCGCAGACCGTTTCGCGGCAGATTCTATACTTGGGTGCCTTATGTTGATGGTAAATAATAATTACTACTTTAGTTTCGCAGCTTTCCCTGTATTAATTGGGATTAAAACTATTAGATGTGTTAATCTAGATATATTTTACCTCTATATACCAATTTTCATAGAAATCTGTTCAGCTATTCGATCGTAATTGGTGCTTTTATTCCCATATCGTACGATTCTCATAATACATCATACGTCATCATTCACAGTGTATAATAATAACAGAATGAAATGTGTGCAGTTGTAAATAATAAAATGTATAATTTTAACATATAAAAATATCTAATCAGAATAAATTATTAAATCTTAATATATTAAATATTAATATTATCGTTTCAGGAAACGCACCCTGCACTTTAAATTGCCGACCTCGAGGACAGCAGTTCTACGCATCTTTAGCTCTCGTGGAAGATGGCACTCCATGCACAAAGCCTGGTTTTCGAGCCATTTGCGTGCAAGGTTCATGTAAGGTAAGTCTAATAAGAAAATAAAAATACAAGTAAATATCAATAGTAGTGACATCTGTCGGTATGTTAGATAATCATGTTCTAGTCTTAATTGTAAGTATACGATGTAGGGTAATAAAATATGCATAAAATATTTTTTCAGATATAGTTTAATAATGAGAACTATATAAAAATTGCTGTTTTTATTTTAAGTTATATGTTTTGTTGTAGTAAATCCTTGATTTCATTTTTAGTAAACAGCGCCATCTATCATTGAGTAGAAGTACTATTATAATAGAGTAAAATAAACATGAAACTCACTATTTTACGTTTTTAAATTTGGAATTATTCAATGTCATTTAAATTTGTATTACATTAATCATATTAAATAAACGAAATGTCGCTAAGTGAATCGTTTCACACAATAAATTTTAAATAATTATCTATATCTCAGAAGTATGTCTATGTTGATGTTATACTTACAATAGAATTCGGTTGCTTTTGAATAATTATTAATTACCTATAAAACTTGACGAAACAGAAAATATTTTTAAATTGAAGCGACATTTAAATTTCTATATTTTTCATTGGAATATGTGTGTGTATGTATTTTTACAGAAGATCATATAACTAATTCTTTAATGATTGTTTTAAATAACAATTAATCAACTAGTTATATGATCTTGAATTTAAAATAATTAATAATTATTTCAAATCCATTACCTTTAATATACGAAACTAAATTGATACTTGTTACTTGTAAAAGTGTTCTTTACTAGCGGTGGTCAGTCCTCCATGAGCAATTAATTTTCTATCAGTACATATTTGTCGGTATTGAAAACCTGTTTATATCTAATTACCTACCTACTAGTCATTATAGATAACTATAGCGATACCTAAGCTAAGTTACTAGCAATTCGCTTTCCTGTCAACTTAATGATTTTTAATAGATGAAAATGGATGTGATGTGATCTATGTTAACTGTATACAATAGCAGGATAAGAAAGTGAAAGATTAAGTGATTTCACTAGAAATTAACAGCGATGGTTTTTAGAGAGAATCATGTGGAAATCGACCTAATAAGGTATTTTTTTTTATACAGCCCACCTGATGGAATGTGGTAACCGTCGCCTATAGACATGAGCAGTACCATGGACATAACAGAGTATACTGTTTCGCCCATGATACCCCCCATGCGTTGTCATTCCTGAGGACTCAGGTTTTATTCCTCACACAGTACCCAGTAAATTCATGCCATATCCCATCCTTCAAACCGAAACACAGCCATGCAAACACAACTGCTTCACGGTTGAAACACGAATGGGACAGAGGTATCCAAGCAATCGACTTTTCACTTGACTTGTTCAAAGTCTCCCTCTGGTATTTATTTATTTAAAAAACATTACTGACCAAATGAAAATATGGTACAAACAGCGGCCATAATGCTATACCATATAAGGTATGCTGTGCAGGGTTAAGGTACATCGCCAGCAATGGGCCTCATTACATACAATCTCTTTTTCTCCGTCAACTTTATGTTTTTTTAATGGATGATAATGAAATAGGAACCCCGTCTGCGCTAACGGTATGCACTGGCGGGGCATCAGTGAGAGATGACACGTGAGAATGAAAAGGCAGGTCAGTTAGCCTATCGTGATGAATTCACTTGGTATATATAGAACACGATAGTTTTCAGGGGGAACCGCGAGGAGATCGACCTGATAGGGTGTATTGCTAACAATGGGGCTACTAATCCCCAAATTTAACAATCGATTATCCCCCCTGCCGTATAGTTTCGGCATATAATGGGCCACACCTTTCTTTCACGTGGGTCTCGTAAGAAGCGACTGAGAGAATTAATTGGTCAAAGGTTGGGGCGGCAGCGTTCCTCTTGAAACTTCACAAAATTCAAACTACAGTTGCCAACCCGCCTGCCAAGTATGGCAATTAGTAGCAAAACTTCCCTTATGGGGAAGGCCTTTATTCAGTAGGGGACTGAAATTTCATTAGTATTCAGTAATGGGGTGAAATTGATATGACAACCTTGCCTGTTTTATCGGTTTTTTTTTTTTTTTGATGGGTGAAAATGGTATGGTAACCTCGCCTGCGCTAACGGGATACGCTGACATCCCTCACTGATGTCCCGCCAGCGTATACCTTTAGCGCAGGTTACTATTCCCTTATCATCTATTTAAAAAAAAAACTATACAGCAATATAGATATTTTATACCTTCATATATTATATAGTCTTATTCATTTAAACATAACGATGGTATACATATAGTGTTACATATGACTACAATAATAATGTTTCATTTGTTTCCTCCACACTGTTGGAGTAAATCGCCGGAGGCACTGATCCATCACGGCGAACCTAGCTCGTGATCTAACGTACTGAGGCTAACATAATAACACATAGTCTAATCATACAGAATTTATCTTAAAGCTGCATTATTACTACAAGACGATTTTCATTTTGTCGCAACAAGTAAACAGGCATTCCATTTGAAAGGTGATGTACAAGAATCAATTACTTACAAAAAACGCATGCTGTGTTTATAGTAAAATATTTAAAAAAATTACATTAAAAATTAAAAAAAAAAACTGAACAATATTGCAAACACAGATTACACTACATTATCAAATAAATTTAAAAATGTAGAATATTTTTGCTTTATTGAAAATAGTAAAAGTAAATAAGGTGTCACTGTCATTTGTAAAGTGTTATAAAATGTAAAAAAAAAAAAAAACATTAATTTGCGCAGAAGTGTATGCAAATGTCAAACTGGTGTTGGTTAACGTCATTCCTCAGGTTTCATTTTTGGCTTGATGTAATTAATTACAGGCTACAAATGCATAACACGTTAGTTCTTAGGGATGGCAACGCATGAAGGGTACAATGAGCGACACAGTATACACTGTTATGTCCATGATACTGTTCATGTTTATAGGCGACGGTTACCACTTTGCAGCGGATGATTCATTAACTTTTTTGCCATTGTAATTTGAATAAAAAAAATATCTGTTGTTTTTGTTTTATTTTAATATATTTGATTAAATCAAAGTACACATGACTCCTGATGCGATTAATTTCTAGCAACTTTAATGCGATGGGCCAACTGACTTTGTTCTCATCTATTAACCTGCCAGCGTCCACCAACAGTACGGGCGAGATTACTGTTTCATATACATATATGGCAACTACTGACAAAACTATGTGGAGAAGAAGAGATTGTTAATAATAAGGATTAGCAACCCTATTGCTAGCACTATATCCTAACAGGTCGACCTCCATGTGGTTCCTTCTAGAAGAAATCGTGCTGAATTCCAGGGGTGTTTATCACGATGGACTGACTAACCTGCTTTCCATTCTTACATATCATCCCTTACTGGTGCCTCGCTAGCGTATACCGCTAATGCAGGCAGGGTTACCATTACATTATCACCCATTAAAAAAATCAATCTTATGGGGTAGGCCTATCTCCAGCAGTGTATAGGTAACGGCTGATATGATGAAGATAATACATATTATTAAAAAAGTCATGTTATTCAATTTTACAATAAAATGAAGTCCTGTACTAACCGAGTACTAATATATACGCGAGTACAGACCACACTTGACCATCGCTGGCGGCCCTAACGGTCTCAGGGCGCTGCTATTGTTCTGACAGTAATTGTTGTGGATTGCCCGTTGATCCAGTGCACCAGAATAACGTGGCCTACCCCATTCCCCTTTTCTTCGAAGATATACGACATATCAGAGACAATATTGCAATAGCAGGAGGTACAGACATTTTTGTTTGTATCTCGTGCATTGCATTACAATTGTAAGTTTGAACACGTTTTTGGATTTATATGTATCATAGCGGTAATGTAGTTCGATGAATTGATCTAAAAGTTTATAGTAAATACAAAATGAACTTGTGGTTTATTTATTTATTCTTTATTGTACAATAAAATTTGTATAAATGGTGAGCTTAATGTCATAGGGCATTCTTTACCAGCTAACCATTAGGTAAAAACAAAAAGCGAAAGTTTTTTTTTTTTTTTATATTATTATTATTTTAATTCCAGCCAAAACAGATCACAACTATCAAAAACTTAAGTAATAATTACATTTGTGATTCGGCTAGGTTATAATCCAATTACATTATGTGCATAGCTTGAGTAAATTATGAAAAGCAAACACATAAAATAAAAAAAAATACTTAAAATGTTATATAAATATATAAAAGATAAAACTATACAAAACAAAAAACATATTTTCAATCATATTCTACGAAATAGAAAACATTTTTAGCGGTCGTGGGATAGGCGGTAGCGTCCCTTTTAAAACACCTCCAAAGCTTAACTGCTATTGCTAATCCACCTGCAAAGCAGGGCAACTATTGGCAAACCCCTCCTAAGACCAGGGTTATGTTCAGCAGTGGACACTTAATAATAACTTAATGAATATAGGACATACATTGTTAAAAAATTTGAGATTCCTATGAAAATATCATTGTAACGCAAGGTATAAAAAAAATTGCATATTGAAATTAATATACAATACTAAGTTATATTTTTATCTATCTACCCGCACGAAGCCGGGGTAGATCGCTAGTCATCAATAAAATATAAAGTAATACAAAAAGTTCGAATACAATTTATATTTTACCAATTTTTATTATATCACTGAGGTGGCAAAAAAGTACACAACCCATCTGATGGTAAATGGTTATCGTAGCCTATGAACGTATCTTACCTGGTATTAACGCGCGCTTTGGGGATCCTCTTTACTCCTTTGAGAAATGCCGTAATTCCCATGCTGTAGTCTTTTAGAAAAACCTCGACAGAGAGCTTATTCCATAAGCTGAGCGTTCGTGGGAGGAAACATCTCTGAAACCGCGCTGAAACCATCTACTCGTAGGCTCTAAGGTATGGGGATGAATTTCCTGTCCTGTTGTACCAATATACAAAATTAGCTATACCAATATCCCTTTGTCTGTCTATCACAATTGACATCATCGATCAACTTGTAAATG